AACACACACCACACACACAAACACACACACCCACACACACACACACACACCACACACACACACACACACACACACACACACACACACACACACACACACACACACACACACACACACACACACACACACACACACACACACACAAGTTACCCAGCCTTTCGCGCAGCCCTCTTCCTCAACCTCAGTTCCAGGTTAACTGGCACCCTCACGCCCACGATTTTCCCACGCCACCACTCAGACGCCCGCCTTTCGAAGTCTTCACCCTTCATAGTGAAGGCTTGGACCGCCATCGTATCTGCAACGAATATAAAATCAGACAAATTTAAAAAAAAAAAAACGCAAGCGAGCAACTCAGATCCACAAAGCTGACCACGTTCAGCTTCTCCGTGAATTCGCAGGCCTTTTCACGAACCCACCCCACGGCCAAAAAAAAACACTTCCCACCCCAAAATCACCAACCCTCCTCCGCGCGTTTCTTCATCTCATCTCTGAGCTCCTTCCCAGCCAGCTCCGCGCACCTTCGCACACACACACGCACCCACACACACACAAACACACAAACACACATGCACGACCGCATGACTCAAACAGTCCTGCTTCCGCTTCCGCGTCGCATTCGCAGCTGCCTGTCCCTCCAGAAATTCACATTTTGCCCAGACCAAATTACACCCACAACGACCAAGAGCCCCACACAGATGCCGCAGAGCTTGGAGGCCGTCCGCGCACCGTGGTAGTTGCCGCACGTCTCCCACTTAGCGAACAAGTACTCAAAAACGACGACGACATCCCCTATTCCCACCCCCCCCCCTCCCTCCCCCCGACCCTCCCTCTCAGTTACGAGCATTCTTGCACCGCAACCGACGCCATTCTTCTGACTCCACCCACGGTTCCTGCACAGGAACCGAGTCACGAAGATTTGAGCACTAACGTCCATGCCAGTGCTCCTCCTCTGCTGCCGCGGCCTTTGCCTCCTTCTTCGCCTCGCAAACGCCCACGAAACAAAGCACGCCACGCCCTCTACCCCCGAACTGGAGGAACCATGTTCCGGCTCATGCACGGGTAGCGCACGGCGGTGTTCCTCTAGGGAAGATGACCGGGCCGGTTTACACTGCACTTCGACGTAAAGGTGCAGCGATTGGCTCTGCACTGCCAACAACTGGAGGGACTGAGGAGAGTCCAGGCCCGGCATCTATGCTTTTGGATGACGCGAAGCGACAAGCGATTGTTGCTGCCACCCAGAAAGTTCTCACTGATCCTTGCATGGATGTGGCGGACTTGGAAGATGCTTTTAGCTACTCTCACAGGATCCTGGAGGCTCGTCGAGTGCAAATGAACCGCAGGAAGTGATCGGGCGTCGATGGCTGGCTTGTTATGGTTTTCTGTAGAATTGGCTGGGAAGGAGCGCATGACAAGATTGCACGTTATCACTGGTTTTCCTTCGAGAGCATGGTGGTTTATCTGGCGTGGAAAAGAGATCGTTAGTGACACCGCTGGAGAAGGGACAGTGAAGGTGCGAACTGCCTTAGGGTTGGTGATGGTTTTCCTTCCTTACTGGCAGAGCGTTTAAAGAAGGGCGGTCGGTAGCAAAGCGTCCAATGAGACGTGAAAAAAGATTCCTGAAGAATGGCTACGGAGTGTCCGATGTGGCGTAAAATCTTACGGCCGCTGCCAATTGTGCAGTTTTTGGCCAGAGAAAGCATCTCCAATGGTGTCCCAGACATCAGTGAAGGACGCCTGGGACATGGTTGGGTTGCTTGTGTTGCGTTAGGGCCGGTAACCCCGCACTGGACCCGCCTAGTCCTGGTTGGTAACCCTTCAGCTAGTAATGGGTTGACGAACAACAAAATTCAAAATTTAGGAGCCTTAAGGGGTGATATCTTGGTTCCTTGTCCCCCTTTTGGTTCCCCCGCATAGGGTTTAGGGTTTAGGGTTTAGGTCTACTTGGAGGTTCATGGGGAGTCAAAAGTGGGGTCATAAGCAGGGTAACAACATGTATAAATGGCTCTCAACTTCTTTTTTTTTGGGGGGGTGGGGGGGGCGCTTATATATAACTCTACTTATAACTACCCATGAACCTTCAAGTAGACCTTAGGGTTTAGGGCTTAGGGCTCCTAGGGTGTTTACAAGTAGGGTCAAGGGCTGAGGGCGCTAGGCTCACCCTTGCTTCTTAGCTGCGATTGAAATAGAGGCTCAAAACGCTTCCATCGAAACCTGCTGAACCCCACAACCCTCGTGGTGCTTGGGGTGTTTGGGGTGTTTGGGGTGTTTGGGTTTGGGGCTGTTTGGGGTTCAGGGTTGTCTGGCTTGGGGCTCGGGGAAGTGGTCCTCGAAACCCCCAACAGCAGGTCCTGACTACTGGGTAGGCCAGGCACCGTACTACACTAAGGGTACCCTTTTTGAGGTTGCTTGCTTTATATGGGAACCTGAATCCGAAAAAAGGGAAGAAGGGTACCGCTGGGCTACCAAGACTACGTCCAGGCGCAGGCAAATGCCCTCTTGCATCAGCAAGGAGCGGATGACCAGCGAAAACCTGGCCAGGGGCTTCGTGCTTCGGGTTTAAGGTTTAAGGTTTAAGGTTTAAGGTTTAAGGTTTAAGGTTTAAGGTTTAAGGTAAGTTTAGGGCTAAGGGTTTAGAGCTGTGGGGTTTAGTGTGCAGGGTTTAGGGTTTGGGTTTAGGGTTTAGAGCTTAGGATCAAGTCAATGAACCCCTAAACCCTTTACCCTAGACCTTGAACCTTAAACCCCAAACCCTAAACCCTGAACCCCTAAACTCAGTGCCCGGAGAGTAGGCCTCAGGGTTCGCTACACGGAACCCTGAAAAGAGACACCCAGAAGGGGACCCGAACCTGCATCCCCCAAGGCTCCCCCCGAAGAACTCCTACATGGGAAGCGCCCGAAACCCTAAACCCTAAACCCTAAACCCTGAACCCTAAACCCTAAACCCTAAACCCTAAACCCTAAACCGAATGGAGCTCAGAGGCCCCAGTTCTTGTTCCCCCGGCACCCCCAACAAAACTCTCATGGAAGCAATGCTCCAGACACTCTGCACCCCAAGCCCTCCCAGGAAACCAAAAGAATAACCTTAAGAGAAAACCGAACTCAGGGGAACCAGGGAGAAGGTAGGGGCCAAAAGAGGAGTACCAGCCTAAGCTCGGGAACCCCAAACCCCACAAGACACAACCCCAAAACCCCGAACAAGAGGCACCTAAGGGAAACCCTACTGGGGACAGGCCGAAGCCCACAACCCCGGTAACCCTGTGACCCTGTTTCATCTTGAGCCAATCGATTTGTGCGTGTCATCCTTGCTGCAGGGGCCATGCCAGCTTTCCAGGCTCCCCCTGAGCTGATGCACAAATGCATCGGATCATCTTTGTGACCTTTGGGTGAGGCACCTGGTCAAAAGCCTCCATTGACCTTCGGGCGAGGCACCTGGTCAAAAGCCTCCATTGAAATCGCCAGTAAAGAATATCGCCACATCCCAGCCAGTCAACGAATGACGAACTCCGTGACTCCCTTCCAAGTGCGGTCCAGTCGTCGCTTGGCGTCCACCTTGTAACGGAAGATATCTCGGATGACCTGGGTCTCACCATCGTTCTGAAAGGTGACATAGGTAACGCGGTCACCAGTCAACTCCTCCAACCCGAAGGGTCTGGCAGCATCGCAGGGGTCAAATAGTTGGATTCGTGGTTGTCGATGGACCCTTACATGCCATCCCCCTCGTGTCGTCCAATAATCCTCGGATCCGGCTGGCTCCACCGAACGTGGTGGTCGGACTGGGGGCGCCTTGCATGGAGGCATAGGCGCCGACGACGAAGCCGTAGGAGCCGATACATCCCAGTGTGGATGGAGTCGGCATCATCCCAGGGGGCGTGCTCGAGATCATCCCAGTGGATGCATTCGACGCCGTCCCAGTGGCCGCGGTTGTTCCCATCCCAGTGGATGTTGGAGCTGAAGACGATGGTAGCGAGGACTGATCTTCCTTGGACCGGGCCTTAATCCTCTGATATCCTGCCAAAAACCATGCTGTTTCCCACAAGAAGAGGATACTGAGCACCATAGCAATCAGGCCCATCCAAAGCGCCGTCTGCCCGAAGTTCAACATGACGACGGTCGCCATATCATCCAGTGTCATCGCTTGCTCCATTGCTGCACCATCCACTGTACTCAACATGGCCAAACAAACCAAAATCTTCAGCATGTTTGTCGCTTGCAGCCTGCTAGCTTGAGGTCGACAGCTTGTTGGCCCTCCCATGTTGATCAGCTTCCTCAGCTCGTCCACTCTACTCGCAGTAAGGGGTTTTGTGCCCAAATCTGCGGTCATGTAAACACCATCAAGGTGATACATCTGCCAAATATCGCATTGTAATCGCTCCTGGAGTGCTGCAGCCTTGATCTTTAACCCTCGGGTCCGCCAAAGGTTGGAGCTTCCTGTGACTAGGGCAACCGTAGCAGCATTATCGCAGTAGATCACAGCCTGAACAGGAACCTGCAAGATTTCTTCCAAAACACATTTGGTTCCCTCACCATAAGCTACCCCTTCCAACACTGCACACAGTTCGCTTTCTGCTGTACTGAGGCTGGTCATAGTTTGCTTGTTGGACGACCAACCAATTAATTGGCCTGCAGCAAAAACATGTACACATTCTTGGGAACGTCCGGCATCGGGAGCGTGGCTGGCATCAGTAAAAACCTCCACCAACGCCTCTTTTCTAGGCACCCTTAACTCCTGATGCTTCCCAAAAGAATCCGGATTGGCCACATAGCGAAGGCCCTCCTCCTTGGTGGCCTTGAGGAACTTGAAGATTTGAGTTGCTGCTTCCACCGCCAAAACAGCATCCCTGGTGATACATTGAGCCGCCTTGCTGATGGCAAAGATAATATCAGGTCTTGTACGGGTTCCAATCCAATTTAACTCACCAATCAGCTTTTGGGCCAGCTTCACCTGCAAAGGATCCATCTCCTTTTTGTCATGAGGAAGATCATACCTCAACGCAGGAACCTTGGAAGTTCGTAGGCTGCCTTGATGTTCGCTCTCGAACCGTTCCAAGATTTCGTCGATATACGCCTCCTGCCGGAGCAGAAATCCACGGCGATCATCAGATCCTTCTGATATATCGAATCCGCAAAAACGAACAGATCCTTGGGCCACGTACTCCGGTGTAGAGCATGCCCAGAGCTGCGACAGATCGCTGAAGCACGATTGTAGTACCCCATCTTCCATGACTCCCAAAATGTCGTCGACATAGATGGAAACCAGGCCGCACAATCTTCCATCCTCGGATAAAATTCTCCACAAATTTTGATCTGTGCGACAAGCTTGCCAGGTGTACCACGCTCCTCCACTCTGAAATCTTCGGCCATTAAGTTGTTGATTTCGAAACACTGCCCAGCTCTTAGGCGAAATATCCAACCCGTATAATGCACGGGTCACCAACCACTTTTCATACGGAGGGATAACTCCAGCTCGGGACAGGATTTTCGGCGGGTCCAAAATGATGCGTTCTGTTTTGGTTTTGGTCCGCTGAAGTAGCGGGGCATTCAGGAAGGCCCCCTTGATGTCCGTCGTTCCAGCCTTCCAGCCACGACGAGCCCCCACAGCAAGCATGGTACGTAGCACCGTAATGTCAATACCAGCCGCATATACCTCCTCCCGGAGCTCCTGCTTTGTTTTGCTACTTTCTTCGGCCTGGAGAAAGTTCCCGCAAGCGCATGCCCTCGCTTTGCGTTGTCCGCTGACCGCCTTTCTTGTGAACACCATTTTTGCCGGAATCCTCTTCACGATCAGGCTGTCGTCCTCCTCCATGACCCGGATTTGCTGCTCGGTGATTGGCTCTATTGCAGCCTTCTCATGGCGAATCGTGTTATACTCGGCACTCATTGCTGGTGTCCACGCTGGCAGCTCCTGCAATACCTGGGCTTGCTGAATTGTCTTTGTTTGCAAGAACACCTCCGGAAAAACATCAGTAGGAGCGCCCGTACGTCCAACATTTGTCTCCACAGACATGCTCTTCAACAGTCGAAGATCATCCTCCACCTGGTCCGCTTGTTCGTGTATGGCCCGTACCTGCGTGACTTGATCCTTCAAGGTCCAAGTGTCCGGCTCCTCGTCCAAGCTGGATTGATCCCAAAGGTCTTGCTGCAGCTTTTGTTGCTCACGTAGCCCTAACCTTTTCAATCCCAGCTGCATGCCATCCAGCAGGTCGCTCTGCTCATCAGCTTCAAAACCAATGGGTATCTCGGAGGCCACAACATGTCCCACCACACCAGTCGCTGCTCCCCCGGTTCCAAGGCTGTTTTTGCTTTGATACAACATTCCCGCCTCCTCCGGAACCAAAAAACTTTCTGCAGCATCCAGCATTTTCAGGGCATCGCTGTGTTCTAGACGAAGTTGATAGCGAGGCCGAACATTTCTATAGTCCTCGTACCGGATTTCCGGCGTTCTCGAACGGCCTCGTCCACCTCCACCTGGGCCATCTGGACCATCTCCCGGCGGATCATCATCTTCATCGTCTCCTTGATCCACGTCCTCATCATCTTCTGGAGGCTCCTCCTCGTTTTCTTCTGCCTGCTGAGGTTCTTGCAGCTCGTAGAGGACCTCGGACCGGATGACGATGTCAAGGGGTTGCCAGTGAGGTGCTTCCTCGTAGCCCACTGTATGATTTACCATCATGGCAAACTGATGAATTTCCAGCTGATTTTCATCGTCGTACATGTAGCGGTAGTTGATAATCGTCGCCATGGTGAGATCTGGCCGATCATCTGTTAGCGCCCGCCTCCTTGATTCTGGATCATCCTCATCAACCAAATGCCTCTGAATTACAGGATCGATCTGCATTCCCTCCTCAGGCGGATTGACCCGGTCCAATCGAATACTTGGGTCCCTCAGGACTTGATTGGGGTCGATTTCCGGATCTGGTAGCAAACCTGCCCACCTGAAGCGATACTCATAGGCTGCTGAGGCCGCCTGGTCGACAGTTTCCGTCGTAGGCAGAATGCCATCCGGTGGGAGCACTGGGGACCACTCACCTTCCCAGTCGTCCACAAAGCGCTGCAAGGGATGTTGATCCAGGTCGTGAGCATTGGCTTGCTCATGGGTCCATCTCTCCTGAAACAACCGATCCGCAGTTGCAGCATCCAACACAGTGTACTGAATTTGTGTATGCTCCACTTGCCTTGCAGGCCCATTGGCTTCTCCTTCCTCTCGCTGTCGCAGGCGAAGTTTGGCGACCCTTGGCCTAGGGGCAGTCGTAGTGCTGGTGTTCGAGGGCGAGGCTGAACTCAAACTCGATCTCAAATCTTGCTTGTACCCCCCCCCAGTGCCTGCTATAGCCGGCAATGGGAAACCTGCAGAATACAGGCTGGCCCTTTTACCAGGCTCCAACCTGGCATGCACTGCCAAGGAAAAAGCCACCGCCAGCACACGTGGGCCCTTTTCTTCGCCATCCTCCGAGGCATGCCACTTGCGCGGATCCAATCTCATCGAGTCCCCGCAACGAAGGCGATGAATCTGGCCCGGCTTCCAGAGTCCTGGGCGAACCTCCTTCCAGACCAACTCTTCCGAGCCCAGGCCAGTGAAAGGTGGTTCCACTTCAGTCCAGATAGAAATGGAGGGTGAAAGGCATAGCAGCAGATTACTCGTCCCTCGTTGATTGAAGATATCACGATGCGGCCCCAGCCAATTGTTCACCGAAAGGGTAGACGAGGTCCAGGTGTCATTGGGGAAAGCAGCTGCGAGGATGGCATTCAGGACCTGAGTTCGCAGCCGATCAGGTTGGTGGGTTGTGGTATTTGTGATCCCAATAACTCCCCCTCGCCTGTAAACCCCATTGGTGATATAGAGGCCTTCAGAGGTTTGGCGGTCGCTGCGTAACTTTGTCCCGCTCAAGGAATCCTGCAGCCACTCGATTGTTTCTTGCAAGGGTCCAGAGATCCAGGAGTCCGCCTTTTTCCAAGCTTGTACCAGACTGTGTCCAGTTTGCTCCCTGTCATGCCCTGGACAGGACAGTGCTGCTGGTGCTACCGACAATGAGGCCAAACCCTGTTTGCCGCGAGCTCGCTGTCGAGGAGGCACAGCGTCCACTTCCACCTCATCCATGGCCGAAATTGCACCAGTATCCGCCATTTGCACATTTTGAAACAGCGTGGTTGTCGTGAAGAAATCGTTTCCCACTTTCACCACATAGCCCCTGGAAACATGTTGCGCCGGGGCAATCACCACGCCTTTGTGGACACGATCATCCCATTGTTCAGCCTTATGCCAGTGTCTTTTGCGGATCCAAACCACTGTACCAAACGGAACCAAAGGCTTGACAGGCATGCCCAGTCGGGCTAAGGCCCTGCGAAGGCGTCGCTCAGCCACCCATCGCCAGGCGCCCGGCCAAAGTCGCTTGGCCGACGTTTCACCATGCAGCAACGTCCTGGTGGCCCTCTTGCAAATACCGACTGCAGCTTCTGCCCTGCCATTTTGCTTGTAGGATCCGCCCTGTCCACAGGTTTGATAAATTCCTCTATCCTGAAGCCAACGACAGACTGGGGCATTGAGAAACTCGCCTCCTTTGTCGGTATGAAACCTGGCCACATGCATTCCCCACATTTTCAGCTTGCTGTAAACGCGACCTATGGCTCCAACCACAGATGCTGGTGTCTTGTCTCGTAGGCTCTCAGCGAAAGTGAGCTCCACCATCTGTAGCTTGTCCAACTTCAAGTCTTGAGGAGCCACCGAGTCTGCCTGTTCGCGAGCCTTGACCAGATATTGTTTCCAGGCTTCAGCTTGTTCCTGAACGAGGCGCTTCTGAAAGTCCGTGAGGTTCTCCTTGGGCAATTCCTCTTCCAGAACCTCCTCGTTGCACTCCCATTCACCGGGATCCACCTCATCGTTCCAGTCCTCCTCGCAGTCCAGCCCATACTCCCTTAGGACGACGGCTTCCTCATCCTTTGCCTGAGGTGGTAGTGGCTCATCCAGTTGGGAACACTGCTCATCATCCAAATCCGGCTCATATTCCGGTGTGTCCTCACCCAACAGCGATGCGGTATCCACACCCACCAACCCGTCATCGTCCAGCAAGGATGCGGCCTCATTGACTGCCTCTGAAGACCTGGGCTTTTCATCTTGACCACCTCCTTCAGGAATTTCCACCATTGGTTCCGGCTCCAAATTTGCAAAGACCGGAATGGTGTAAACCATCGTGCACATGTACTTCACCCGACCATACTCATCCAAGCCCACCGTATAGGGACCACTCAGGTCGGCGCTAATCGTGTAGGCTTCGCTGATAGGCAGTCTCCTATGCTGGCCGTCTTTGGCTCCGCCTGCTAGGCAGTGTAGGCAATCGCGACGAAAGGGAATATGGCCTTGGGCAACATGTTGTCGGAACTTTGTATCCAGACGATGGATTGATAGCCCCCCGGGACCAAGCGCAGCAGCAATTGTAGAACTGCCCACTTCAAACCATCAGGCCACTCATGCCCTTTGGTCATTTCTTGAGGATCCATTCCTTCCTCCCCCGAACCACAGTCTTTGCAGTTCACCATTGAAACCTCATCGAAGTACAACTTGTGCGATACCAGCAGTCCTTGCTGTTTCGTGGTCCGGTGACCCAAATCGCCAAAGTCGACTTCCAGTTTTTCCAACTTGTACTTCGCTTGACAATGTTGTACTTCTGGCCAATTCCAGATTTCCGGTCTCGAAGCTTCGGTGTTTTCCCCATTGTTTGGCGCCTTGTGTTCCAACACCAGACCCACCGCCTGGCTGTTGTTATGAAGCCTCCTTGCTTCCTCTGCGACCATATACAGCACCAACTGCCTCAGGATCAGGATATTTTCCTTCTCCACAGCCCGCAGGTCGCGAGGACCGAGCTCAGATCTGCCAAGTCGGTCTTGAGGATCATTCCCCCTCCATTGCTTGGGTGCCTCAAACGTCTTGTCTGGAGGTCCGCCCATCACCATTTTGACATGGCCACTTCGGGCCAACTCCAACAAAAAACCATACATTTGGTCGCACAGCAGGTTTTCAGGCAGGTCCACATCGATAACGTAACACCCATCCATACCCTTGCCATCCAGATATTGCTGAAAGAAGCCCGGGTTTTGCCAGCAAACAGGTTCAGTACGATGAACTTCGAAGCCATCATGGCCTTCCTTGTCCTCCGGCTCCAAGGCAAGCAGTCATTTCCTTTGGCATAGGCAGGAACGGTTAGGGCATCGATGATCCCCTCTGGCAGATGCAAAAACTGATCTTGCAACCAGCGCTTCATGGCCACGGGATCCTCAAACATCATAGTCCCTTCTTGCTCCAGGCCACCTCCATCTTCCTTCTGGATTCGCAGCTCCTTCACGAAGGCCATCTTGTCCCGCTTCTTCTGCTCAATATCTTCAATGAGCTTTAAGGCCAGTGCTTCTGGAACTTCTGGGCATCCGGTAGCCAATCGTACTGGAAGCTGGCCAAACTTCGGGACCTTGATGCAGATACCACCTTGATCCCAGGTCACTCCTGTCCCCAGCTGGATCAGCTCATGCATGGCCACAATGGGACTCGTGGAGGGATCATTGGTCAGCAGCGCGCCAGCATCATTAATCCGGAGCTGTGTCGAGCCGGTAGCCAGGGCCACTGTAATCGGGGCAGCTCGTTGGAACTCCCGATTGGACTTTGCCTTTCTGAGGCAGGCCGTAGCTCCACCATCCAGCATCCCCAGCCATCCGTTTCACCTCGCAACGCCGCCAATCTCATCGTCTTGATGAGCTCGGATGCCTCCTGAAGAAAAGCTGCCTGGGCCGTCGAGGACGAAGCGGAAGTCGTAGAGGACGCTGGTTCGTCCGGCTCCACCTTCTTCACGATGGGCTTGGGCTTTCCCTTATGCTTGCCTCTGCCCTTTGCTTCCGTGGCCTTGTCATTGGTCTCTTTGGCAGCGGCGGTGTCTGCAGAGGTGGTAGGATAAGGGCAGTTGGCCTTCTGGTGGTCTTCTGCAGAACAGTTGTAACACCTCCCCACCATCCTGGCCTTGTCATGCGGAAAGGAGCAGGCATTGCCCTTTCGACACCCCTTAGGTGTCATCCAGTTCCAGCATTGCCCGTGTTCCCGCTGCCCCTTGTCTTTGCCCTTGCCCTTTCCTTTCGCTTCTGTTTCCATGGCCGCCACCTTAGGTCTTCGTCCTCCAAGTTCGGAGCCAGTAACCATTTCCAGTTCCGCCAACAACATCTGCGCTAAGGACTTGGCAGAGGACAAGGTGGGGGCATAGTCAATCTTGTTTTCCAACCGAAAAGTTGACAGCCGGAATAAGCTTTGCCCCGCAATCACCGCAGCTGTAATCTGGTCCAGTGCTTTAACCAGCAGTGTTGGATCTGGGAGTGCCAGTTTCAGCTCCTGAGCTCTGGTAAGGGCTCGGGACCACTTTCTGATTCCAGCGATGCCGTCCGTCGCCGTGCTCACCGCAGCTGGAGTAGTTAACGTTCGTAGCAAAGCCTGCTTCTCCCCTGCTCCTCCCGGTTGATACTTGGTCAGTAACCGAAACAGCATAGGAATTGTTTGCACCGCTCGGATGGTTACCATTTCCTCCTTAACATCTGCAGGTAACGCCGCCAGCATGAGCACCGCGCCTCGTTGTTCAGTTCGTGACCACCTGGAGTGCTCAAACAGTGCTGTCAGCCCCATCACCTTGTCTCGGAGCTCCAACCTCTTCAGCGGCGAGGCGGCCAGCCAGTCATCGTAATAGTTGTAGGCCGTGCCGGTAACCTGGTCCCACCACTCTGCCGCCGTGGCTGAAATTCCCGCCATCATCGGTTTGACCACCGTCAGCCAGTCTCCAAGAATCATTCCAGCATCCTCGGTGTTGCCCTTGAAGATCTCCAGCTTAGGCAGATCCTGAATACTTCTGGCGGTCTCCTCCGAAGGCATCAAGGCCGCTGGCTCCTCAGATATTAAGGCCCTTGGCCTCGTCCTCATCTCCGGAGGTAGTGGTGGGGGTGGCGGTACCACCTCCCAAACTGCCGGTCCCACGGCCTGCCACGATGTATCCACGCCAGCTGTTACCCCAGGAACTTTGGGTGTCGCCATTGAAGGCCCCGAAGGAACACGTGTGCCACCAGGTGTATGGTGGCTACTGGGGAGTGGCGGTGGTGGTGGAGGCGTTGCTTCCGCCGAGGGTGCAGCCTCCCCAGCCCTCGCAGCTTCTCTGGCCAGAACCTGTTGCAACTGCATCTGTAGCTGTTGTACCTGAACTCGCAACGCTACCAACTCACGATCTTTTTCATCCAAAGAAACATTGGCCACACTTGCAGGCTGTCCCAAACCAGGAGGCGTGGCAATCGTGTGGGTACGAGTTCCAGTCTCCTGTTCACCCAGCTCCTGCGAAGGATGAGACCTAGCCGACCGCATCGAATCGGACGATCTAGGTTGGAAATCCCCCAAAGCAGCCTGGGCCTGGGAACCCGCAGAGTCCTGTCTTTCCAGATTTAAACCAGCAAACATTCTTGCTAAAGCCGCTTGATCCACTGTTCCCAATGCCGACGACTGAGAAGATTGTCTATCCTGCTCCAACACATCCAACCTCGAAGTTAAAGGTTGCAGCAAATCTCCCAGCATCTGTCTCATCGGGCCCATCCAATCTGTTTGTGTAGGGGCTGGTTCAGGTCGATGTAGCGGCTGTCCCAAGGCTCGAATCTGCTCGTAGGTGTTAAACGCCAGTCCAGGATTGTTGCCTTGCGCTGCAGCATTATTTGGAGTCCAGTGTGTCATCTGCCCAGTCAAGTGTTGCTCGCCTGTTCCACTGTCAAAATGACCTCCAGGAAACGGCACGCTGGTAAAACCAATATGGGCTGATGGACCAGGACCACTGACCGATTGTGCCACCGCTGTACCAGGAACTGTTGATGGCCCGGCACTTTGCTGAAACTGAAAAACCTCTGTGCTTGCACTTGTAGCTGCCCCGATACCTTCATGCACCTGCAGCACACTTCCACTAGCTGATGGACCAGGACCACTGACCGATTGTGCAACCGCTGTATCAGGAACTGTTGAGGGCCCATCACCCAAACCTGTGGAAATCACTGCACCAGCTGTTGTACCCTGAGCAACTGTCGTAGGGGTATCACCATTCCCATCCACCTGAGACGATGATATTGTAGGCCCAGAAACTGTACCAGACCCACCATTGTTTTGCCCGGTAGCCGCAGGATTTGCAACATTGCTTGCACCGCTGCCACCACCAGATAAACCATTGTTGCCCTCCTCAGCACCCAGCCCCCCACCTCCCGCAGCAAGTGTGGATCCCAGTGCCTGAGCAAAAAGCTCGTCAACCGCATCTCCTCCATGCTCCTCCATCGGAGCCTCATCTGTACCAGAGGAAGCTTCCAGCAAGAGCGAAGACGCAGGATCCATGGATCTTTCCTAAAGCCCTGAAAACACTAACCACACAGAACCACGACACTTGGGCTCATAACCCCAGGAAACCAAAAGAATAACCTTAAGAGAAAACCGAACTCAGGGGAACCAGGGAGAAGGTAGGGGCCAAAAGAGGAGTACCAGCCTAAGCTCGGGAACCCCAAACCCCACAAGACACAACCCCAAAACCCCGAACAAGAGGCACCTAAGGGAAACCCTACTGGGGACAGGCCGAAGCCCACAACCCCGGTAACCCTGTGACCCTGTTTCATCTTGAGCCATTCGATTTGTGCGTGTCATCCTTGCTGCAGGGGCCATGCCAGCTTTCCAGGGCCCTCAACCCTAAACCTTCAACCCTACACCCTAGACCCTAAACCCCAAACCCAGGATGATGATTGGGGGTCACCAAGGCATCTAAGGCTTCAGGGCTCCAGGCCTACAGCACCCCCAAAAACCCGGGTGGGGAGGGTGACCTGCCCTTCTCAACAACAGGCTCCCACGCCCCAGGCCTCTCCGGAATTCGGATCGGGAACTGATAGACCAGCTTTGAAAATCGTGCCGTGACCTGGACCCAGAAAGTCCAGAACGCCCGGAAGAAAACCCACAAGCTTTAAACCTACCCACAAGCTTTAAACCTAGGATTCTCCCCCAAACCCTGAGCCCTGAACTCTATGAACCTATTGGGGTGTACGATATTAGAGGTACCTGCTTCCCGAGCGCCGGATGGGACAAAGTCAGCTGAGGCTCTCCACCCTAAACCCTAAACCCTAAACCCTCAACCCTCTTGGTTCAGCGTTCGGGTGTCGGGTTTACAGCTTAAGGGAGTTCTGGGGCTTTCGGGTTTGAAGCTTGAAGGGTTTCAAGGGTGCTCTTTGCCGAAGGATGCAATACACCTGTTGCTGGAGGCACAAGGCGCGCAGAGACGGGACGCTTCGACGCTTCCGTTGTGCAGCTGAAATAACAACCCTAAACCCTAAACCCTAAACCCTAAACCCTAGACGTCAACCGCATTCGCAAGCACGATGTGCTGCGGTGGCAAGGCAAACCGAGAGCACGGGTGCTGCCGATCCATGGTCATCGGCCTGGTCACGGTCTTTCAGCCTCCAGCACATGTTTAGGTCTGCAGCGGCGTCCACAGGCGCGCGCCACAGCACGCGGAATCTCATCGCCGGCCGTGATTTGTCAGATGTTGTAGACTGTTGTGGCACATCCGCCTTCCAAACATCAGGCCTTCAGAAGGTGGACCTCCCCGAACCCTAAACCCTAAACCCTAAACTCTAACATGCGAAGCTGCCTCAAGGCGGCGATCTTGGTCTGAAACGAGCGTGAGCATTTGCTGTCAAGGCCCCCTCTCACAAGCTCCTAAACGCCCCCGGAACCCGGCAACAAATGAACGACTCTGGCCTTAGGGTTTCGGGTTTCGGGTTTAGGGTTTGGGGTTTAGGGTTTAGGGTTTAGGGTTTAGGGCTTCAGGGCCTTCCTTCCTTCGAGTGCAAAGCATTGTGAGGGCTCCCCCTAAACCCTAAACCCTAAACCCTAAACCCTAAACCCTAAACCCTAAACCCTAAACCCTAAAGCAAAGAGGCCGCCGAGCCGCCGTGCGAAAATTGAAGTCGCGGATCGACTTGCCCATGGAGTCCTCGGAAGGGCGTGGGGGGTGGCCCCACCCGTAGGGTTTAGGGTTTAGGGTGGTTAGGGTTTAGGGTTTAGGGTTTCGGGTTTAGGGTTTAGGGTTCAGGGTTCAGGGTTCAGGGTTTAGGGTTTAGGGTTTAGGGTTTATAACCTTATTCAAGGTACTTATATGGGCCTCCAAGTATGGGGGTCGTGAATAATGATTCAGAGTATTCCCTCTTGAGGCTCCCAAAATGTGCATACTGTCACAACCCACAAGAGCCTTATTCTTATTCTATGAGGGGTACTACAATCCCGAAGAAGGGGACTGTTAGTTTAAGGGGCAACATCCCAACCTCCAACCCTAAATCCAAAGGCCTCAAAGGGTTTTGGTTCAGGATGGTTTTGGGTTTTAGGGCGGTGGAGAACCTCTGGGCCCAGTCAAACCCATCGAATGCAACCCTTAAAGACCTCAGTACATCCCGAAGCACCTCCTTTGAACACCCAAGTTCCAACGCGACGCCCAAACACTAAACCCCAACCCCCAGGCCTCTAAACCCTAAAACCCGCACCCTTAGCTAGTCTTGGGGTTTGGGATTGGGTTGGATTGGATTGGAAGGACGACCAGGACCCGAAGATCTGGCCTAAAGAGAACGGCATCATCTCCGCCCTGAAGGCTTAAGGATCAAGCCGAAAAGAGGAAGAGGAAGGGGTCCCTAAACCCTAAACCCTAAACCCTAAACCCTAAACCCTAAACCCTAAACCCTAAACCCTAAACCCTAAACAAACAACATGGCGGCTTTCCGCCCCCCCGAAAAACCACCGGTTTGGGCGAGGGGTAGCTTAAGGGCTTCAAGCACCCGCAATCTCACGAGGCCCAAACCCCACATGACCCTACTGCAAGGCCCCACGACCCGACACCATCCTCTCGACACCATAGAACAATGACTCAATCTTGCCTGTTGCTTGGACATGAAACTAAACCACTTCCTAAGAAGACTACCCTAAACCCAACCCTCAAGCCTCAACCCAAAACCCTAAAACCTCTAAGGGCCCCAGGGACCCTAAACCCTAAACCCCAAGAACCCTAAACCCCAAACCTCAAGAACCCAAAACCCTAAACCCTAAACCCTAAACCCAACCCTCACCCTATAAGGACAGCCAAGGACAGCCTGGGGCCCCTGGCGGCCCAGATCGTCTCCATCGCCGGGACGATCTCCGACACGTCGGTGCCCGGGCGCAGGAAGCCCAAGCGGATGAAGTCGTTGGCAATCTCCTGCAAAAAGGGTTTAGGGTTTAGGGTTTAGGGTTTAGGGTTTAGGGTTTAGGGTTTAGGGTTTAGGGTTTAGGGTTTAGGGTTTAGGGTTTAGGGTTTAGGGTTTAGGGTTTAGGGTTTAGGGTTTAGGGTTTAGGGCATTTATGGCTGCTAGGGGTTTTTAGGGGGCTTTTAGGGGCGTTTTTTCGGGGGTTTTAAGGGGGCTTCTGGATGTCTTAGGTTTGTAGGCTGCAGGGGCTTGAGGGTTGACCTCCATGGGAAGCTTGCATGAAACGACCCCTCAAACACCCTGAGCTGCGACACGAGCCCCAGCAGCCCCAGCAGCCCCAGATCCTGGCATCCTGAAACCCGAAAGGCCCTTAAAAACCCTGAATTCCTGGCCTGAAAACCTAACAGAATCCTGAAGGCCCCAGAAAAAGGAAACTAAAACCCGAAGTGTCGAGGAACCCTACACACCGAAAGCCCGAAAACCCTAAACCCGAGAGGGGTTATAGGTGTTTATTAAGGTTTTGTTTTTTTGGGGGGCCTTTTTAAGGGCTTTTAGGGATTTCCAGGGTTTGCCAGTGCTTTTGGGGAGTTGTGCTTTTGTTTTAAACTGGAACCGCTCACCGGTTTCAAGCACGCAGGCCAGAGGCCGCCCCCTGTTAGTCAAGGGGACTCGCCGTCCCGAAGGCTTTAGGGTTTAGGGTTTAGGGTTCAGGGTTCAGGGTTCAGGGTTTAGGGTTAGTTTCTCTCCCCTCTCCTCCAGCCGAATCCTATTTCCTGCTTCAAACCCTTTCAAAGATGTTGCGCTGAAGAAGGCAGGTCATGATGGGGACCTCTCTCCTGTCCTAGGTCCTCCACCATCTCTGCTTCACAATGCCACTTCCCTTTGCCAAACTTAACGCCTGCCTCTGCCTCCCCAATCTGACCAAAGGGTTCAGGGTTGAGGGTTTGGATTTTAGGGCTTGGAGTTTAGGGTTTGTACTAGGCTTGGTAACCTAACCCTCAGCCCTAAACCCTCAACCCTAAACCCAGGGTTTTTAGGGGTCTCCTCGTAGTCCGAGTTCGAGACGTGGGTGATGGCACCGATGAGCACCTCGCTAGCGAGGGCTTGCGGGGCTTCCTTGCGCCTTGGGGCTTTAAAGTCGTCAGTCTTGCGGTTCTTGGGGTTTGGCGTTTAGGGTTTAGGGTTTAGGGTTTAGGGGGTTTAGGGTTCTTGGGGTTCTTGGGGCTCTTAGAGGCTTTAGGGGCTCTTGGAGGCTTCACGGCGTTGGGGCTTCAGGTTTAGGCGTCCTGGGCACCGAGAAGCAAACTTAGCAGTGGGGCAACTACATCAGAGGTGGTACCTGGTCTAGGGTCTAGGGAGCAGCCCTAGTAATTCTCTAAGGGTAGTTACCTGCTCCCTGAGGAACTACCCCCTTATATACCCCTTATATACCCTATACGAATTAAAGGAGGTCAGGGACCACATTGTGGGCCCATAGAACTACTCTCAGATAAACCCTGAACCCCAAGCCCTCAAGCCGCCAAATTTCTCGGAACCCCACGCCCTGCGCCTAACCTGCAGGGTCTGGGGGCTTTTCGAGGTTGTTCGGGCTCTTAGGGTCTTCGGGCATCAAGTTCCGGATTTTCTAAGCAGAGCTAGAACTACAACTTGTTCTAACCTTACGGGAGTTGGGGGCCTTGGGTTCAGGGTTGCAACCTCGTCTCGGGCGCCTAGAGCTCTACTTGCAGCTACCCATGAACCTTCAAGTAGGAAGCTTCGAAGAAGGGCATCAGGGTAGGAAAACGGCTCCCTCGGCCCGAAGGCCTACACCCCAAACCCCAATCCCCGAAGAGCAGGCCGCGCTGGGCTGAGGCCCACGGACTGGGATGGATGTTCCCCTTATACTGACAGTCCTTCTTAGAAAAGATAATAGGGGGTACTATCATCCCTATTGACGAACTGTTAGTATAGGAGGAACATCTCAACCCACCGACATAAGGAGGAGCGACTCAAATTAGTGACTCTGCTTGTACGCGTTGCTTGTTGTTTTGGTGGGTGGGGGGGTCAGACTTACAAAGCCCCCGGCGCGTGAACCCACGCAGTACAAAGCTGGGGCTTCCCACATCACGCTGGCTCTCCGTGATCTCCGCGACGTTCCCAAAGTCCACGTAGGCAATCCTGTGGGGGGGGGGGCGGTCGACCAGTCCCAGTTGGGTTTACAGTTCGGGGTCTAGGGCTGAGGGCTTGGGGCTTGTTGCTCCGAGTTCAGGATAACGGGATTCAGGGTTGAAACCCTGAACCGCCCACTTTCTCAACTCTAGGGACTCTGGGGGGGGGAGCCCACGACACCTTCAAGAAGGCAACAGCGATATAAGGGTCCTGATGTCAACTCAGGGCCACCCCCCGCTGAAAGGCTTTAGTAGCTCCAATAGAGGGGAATTAGGGCATTCGGTACCTTATGTAACAGAACCCTGTACAACCCTCTCTGGGGATTCGATACGAAAACCCCGAACCACCGAATTCCCTACTACAACACAGCCAGCCCCTCATGATGCTTCAAGGGACTATATATACATGTCGTTTTTGGCGAGATCTCGAAATATGGTGGCTTTTTACGTACCTTAGGGGCCGCAGTACAGAGAACATATATAAACCCTCAGCCCTGAACGCCCGTCGCAAAGGCAGGGGCCCTAACCCCTAAACCCTAAACCCCTAAACCCGAAACCCCCAAACCCTAAACCCTAAACCCTAAAACCCCAAACCCCTAAACCCCTAAACCCTAAACTCCTAAACCCTAAACCCCAAACCTAAAGGCCCCAAACCGAGGGCGCTCCTGCCGTCGCGCATCGCGAAGATGTTGCCGGCGTGCGGGTCGCCGTGGAAAAGCCCGAACTCTAAGAGTTGGCGCAGCGCTGCCTCGAGGCGGTTTTAGGGTTTAGGGTTTATGGGTTTAGGGTTTATGGGTTTAGGGTTTATGGGTTTAGGGTTTAGGGTTTAGGGTTTAGGGTTCAGGGTTTAGGGTTTAGGGTTGGGGCTTGGGGTTTAAGGCTTAGGGTTTAGGGTTTAGGGTTTATGGGTTTAGGGTTTAGGGTTTAGGGTTTAGCGTTTAGGGTTTAGGGTTTAGGGTTTAGGGTTTAGGGTTTAGGGTTTAGGGTTGAGGGTTGAGGGTTGAGGGTTGAGGGTTGAGGGTTGAGGGTTGAGGGTTGAGGGTTGAGGGTTGAGGGTTGAGGGTTTAGGGTTTAGGGTTTGGGGTTTGGGGTTTAGGGTTTAGGGTTTACTTTAGGGTTTAGGCTTAGGGTTTAGGGGTCAGGGTTTAGGGTTTAGGGTTCCGCCTCCAGGGACAGAAGGGCCCCTAGAAATAGGGTCTTAAAGTATCGGGTTTAGGGTTTGGGGCTTAGGGTTTAGGGTTTGAAGTATCGGGTTTAGGGTTTAGGGTTTAGGGTTTAAGGTTTAGGGTTCAGGGTTGAGGTTTAGGGTTTAGGGTTTAGGGTTTAGGGTTTAGGGTTTAGGGTTTAGGGTTTAGGGTTTAGGGTTTAGGGTTTAGGGTTTAGGGTTTAGGGTTTAGGGTTTAGGGTTTAGGGTTTAGGGTTTAGGGTTTAGGGTTGAGGGTTCTCATATGGGCTCTAACATGGGGGTTTGGGCTTTAGGGTTCCAATGTGGGGCTTAGAGTTTGGGGTTTAGGGCTTAGGGGCCCGTGTACGTAGATTCGATAGCTTTTCTAAGTGACATGGAACCTAGGTAGGAGTTTTGAAGGGGGGGAAAAAGTACTAGGCCTCCTGTTATAAGGGCTCTGAAGCTTTAAGGTTCAGGCTGAAGGGTTGAGGGTTCAGTGCTGTTTGGGCTTCGGGTTGAGGGTCTATGCTTGTTTGGGCTGACGCTAAAAACTTAAACCCTAACTAAACCCTAAATCCTAGGCTCTTAACCCTAAACCCTCCCGACCCCAAACCCTAAACCCTCCCGGCCTTTGATTCCTCGGGCTCCGGACGAGAGGGTTTGGGGAGCAAAAAAGGACCGGAGGACCTGGGCCACACCTTGAAAAAAAAGGGAAGCCACACCGATTGAAAACAAAAACCTAATGCCCGGCAAAGACAACAAGCAACACCCCAAACACCTCACACACATCCCAAACACCCAAGAAAAAACTTCAATCCTGAAAACCCCAGACACAGCCCCCAAACCCCCCAAAGCCCAACCAGGGTGCTCTGAAAACCCCACGGGGGCCTGCACACCGTTGCGGATGAATTCATCCACGTCGATGCCCCGACGCCTGCGCCGACACAGCAGGTGATAAAAAGGCTTGGGGTGTAGGGCTTAGGGCTTAGGGCCACAAAAACCCCAACCCCGAATAGGATCATGCGGGTGGGGGGATCTAGACTATGGGCTCTTTGAGGAGTTCTCTACGGTCGCACAACCGCTGTTGCTTTGAGGGTGGGGGCCATATAAAGGCGTTTTGGTTCAGGGTACAGGGTTGAATCTAGCTTGGGGTGGGGGGTGGGGAGGGCGCTGACATACAGTTTGATCTAGGGCTCAAAGGTGCAGACAGAGTTTAACGAAGATGTGCACACCCCAACTCCCAAAGCGGGCCGGGGATCCCGCAAATGTTTACTTAAGGCTTCCCCGGCTTCCATCTGTCTTTGGCTCATGCGCAGCCAGCACCGGAAAGTGGGAAAGGACTCTCTGGTGCCGCACTCGCATACACGGCGTCGAGGTAAACCCAAAAAAACTGGCTTTAGGCTGGGCCCGAGACCCGAAACTCGCAACAAACGGAAGACAAACAAAAACCTAAAGCCTGAACCCCTGAACCCTCCTCGTGCTCTTGAAGAGGTAAGAGAAACCCTGAAACCCTGACCCCCTAACCTCCCGTACTTTTCTCAACCCTACGTGCACCCTAGTTAAACCCCAAGCCCTTCACCAAAAATGCCCTAAACCCTACTAAGCCCCTACAGCCCCGAAAGCCCCCTGAACCCTAACCCAACCCTAAATTCTTAAACCCCGAAATCCCCTAAATCCCCTAAAACCCCTAAACCCCAAAAACCCGTAAAACACCTAAAACACCTAACCTGAAACCCCTGAAACCCCTAAAACCCCACCACCCCTCACCCCTCACCCTAAACCCTAACCTCCCTAAAACCCCGAAACCCCTAACCCAACCCCCCCACAAAAAAAAAAAAAAACAAACAACACCCTTAAAGCCCTAAAACCCCCAAAAACCCCTAAACCTTTAAAATCCCCTAAACCCCCTAAACCCCCCCCCTTCACTCCCAAAGTTTGCAGGCCTGAGCTCCCTCAGGTCGGTGCTCTTGATGCCATCGATCCACCTCAGGGTCTTAGGGGATGCCGCGGAGTTTAGGGTTTAGGGTTTAGGGTTCAGGGTTTAGGGTTACTTACATGGGATTTAGGGTTTAGGGATGTTTCGGGTTTAGGGCTTTTTTAGGATCCTCTAAAGGTTTAGGCCTTCGGGTTTAGGGGTTTTAGGTTTTTAGGGTTTCGGGGGGTTGGGCGGCTTGGGGGGTTTAGGGATCCTAGTAGGGGGCTTAGGGATTTTGAGTTTGGGGCTTGGGGCTTAGGTAGGATTTTTGGGTTCAGGGGGGTTTTGGGGTTTAGGGGCTTAGGGCCTAGGCATGTTGATTAAGGAAAAAGGGTACATGGTAGGGCTAACTGGCACTCAGCATCTTAAGGCTCGGGCTTTACAAGGCTACGAGAAACTCTGGCCAACATGTTGGCGCCCCAAACTACAGTACAAGGAACATACCCTAAACACCCAATCCCCCCAAGAACACCCCCCCCCCCCCTAAACCCTAAACCCTAAACCCTAAAACCCTAAACCCTAAACCCAAAAAAAAAATCCCAACAAAGAGCCCTCTCAAAGCCCCTCTGAAGCGCAAGCCTAAACCACTAACCCCGACACCTCTCAACCCCGAAGGCCCGAACTGCCGACCTAAACCCTAAACCCTGAACCCTAAACCCTAAACCCTAATCCCCAAACCCTAATCCCCAAACCCCTAAACCCTAAGCCCGACGCCCAAAGCCCTAAACCAAAGAAAGTCCAAAGCACCTGCAACTTGAATGTTTTCACAAAAGTTGTATAGAATGTCCGCGAAGCTCCACGAAACTTTCCGCGATACTCTTCGAAACTTTCTTCGAAACACCTCATAAACCTTAAACCCGAAACCCGAAACCCTAAACCCGAAACCCTAAACCCTAAACCCTTGGGACGCCGACTCCATGGTGATGACCTGGGCAGCAGCTCCGATGCGGCCCTTTTCTTCGGTCTTGGGGGTTTCGGGGTTTAGGGTTTAGGGTTTAGGATTTAGGGATGTTCCCCCTTCTACTAACAGTCCTTAAAAAGGATTCTACTAGGGGCACTAGAATCCCAATGAAGGACTGATAGAAGGGGGAGCATCCCAAGTTTAGGGGTTTGAAGGCCCGGTGGCTTAGGGGTCTAGGGGTTTAGGGGGTTTAGGGGTTTGGGCTTAGGGGGCTTAGGGGTCTAGGGGATTAGGGGGTTTAGGGCTTAGGGGCTGAAGGGTTTAGGGTCCCGCAAGACTTCCCAATGGCGAACCTTCCGCCGGACGTACTGCATGAAGACCTGGCGTGCTCGGCGAAGCTGTTGGGTTGAGGATTGAGGCTTCAGGGCTCTAGGGTTTCTTTAGGGTTTAGCGGCTTATGGGTCTTTAGGGTTTTAGGGTTGGGTTTAGGCTTTAGGCGTCTAAAGTTTAGGGTTTGCAGGCGCAGTAGATGGCATTTTGATAAGGCGCTGCTCGGCACAACTTTGAGGGCTCAGGCCTGCTTCACCTACAGTTTACGAGCGTTGTACCTTCTAGGGGCTAACCACCACAAAGCAGTCGGAAAAAGTCGGGCCCAAGGGAGGGGTTAGGGCAAGGGAATTTGATTTCGGCTTCATGGGGTTTAGGGAGTTTTGGTGGTGTCCGAAATTGGGGGTACCTCATTCAGGGGATCCTACTATGTTGGGTCTATTTTCGGGATCCTAAACCCTAAACCCTAAACCCTCCCTACATCCTGCAAAGGTACGGCAAGCCGCCTGCGCGGGCCTCTCAAACAACCCGAAATAAACAGGGGTACCCTTTTAGGGGGTTCCTATAATAAGTGGTATACCATTTGGACCCCTATTTGGGGAAATGCTCAACACTTTGTTTGGGAGGGCGTTCTTTCCAGAACACCAACACCTTTCTCCGTGCCCTACAGCAAAGGGGTAAGCGACGCCGAAACTCAGCATCACTAGCTGTAGCCTGGGCTCTCGTTTTAAGGAACTTCCAGCTGCCATACTCTGACATCTTCCCGCGTCACACATGGAACCCTGCGGCACCTTCGGTATCTTCACAGAATCGTCCGCCTCATCAGGGGGAACAGAGGAGTGTGGGGATCGCTCCACATGGGTGTCGGGGTTTTTGGGGTTTTAGGGCGTTGGGGGGGTTTAGGGCTTTAGGGGTTTTTAGGGCTCTAGGGGGTTTAGGGCTTTGGGGTTCTAGTGACCCAAGGTTTTAAGGTTTTTAGGGCTCAGGGTTCAGGGTTTTGTTTTGGGGTTGCCAAGGAGTGGAGGCCGGCACACAGGGGGAAGACGAAGAACCTCGAGCCGAACCACCTAAACCCGGAACCCTGATTCTTGTTGAGCAAGGAAAAAGGGTTTAGGGCTTAGGGCTTGGGGCAGGGTTTAGGGCAACTTGGATGAAGTTACCCTGACTCGGGTTTGTGCGGCGAGTAACCCCAGTACTTTCTGAGAAGGAGCTTGAATGCAGTTACCCTCGTAGGCCTGCATGGTAGTACCCCAGCACCTCATGGTAACCTAACAAAGGACCCAGGCAGCAAAGGATCTAAAGGACCGACCTTCCGCCCAGTGCCCCTTCGGTTTTATATACCTATGCCCTTTGAAAAAAGATCGAAGCCTCGAAAACACCGCAAGCCCCACAGCCGCCAAAGCAGGGTTCGCTCCTGGAAGTTCTTCCGGAACATCTCGGCGTTCCTCGCCTCGTGGGCGTAGTCCGCTTCCTGGAGTGTGGGCTGTGGGCCTAAACCCTAAACCCTAAACCCTAAACCCTAAACCCTAAACCTGAGGTCCGCAGTCTGAGGGTTGAAGGGCTTTGCGGTTCAAAGTCGAAGGGCTTAGGGACTTTCAGGCTCAGAGTGGGTTGAGGGTTCAGAGTGGGGATGTGTCCCCCTGATACCACCAGTCCTTACTAGGGGTTATAGTACCCCCCCCTATGACAATCCCTGTTTAGGACTGCGGGTATAAGGGGAACACAATCCCGTAATACAACTTGCGACTAGATTGGGGGGTTGTAAAACCGCGACCCCAAAATTTGGGCCGTTTGACGGTTTTTGGGGCAGCGAATTCTTTTATTTTTGGGCGGGCCCACAGACAAGCACTAAAATTGAGAATCACGACCTCCGCAGGCAGCTTTCTTGTGGAAGTGATCATGAGAGAAACATGCACAGGGGAGGCCCACGCACTCAAACTGGCCTTCAGCCGGCTTCAAATGACGGCAAGCTATTGGGGGTTTTTGAGGCCAGTTTAAGGCCTGGCCTTAAGCTGGCCTCAAGCCAGTTCAAAGTCTGAAGTTCTAGGGGTTTTGGGGGGTTTTGTGGTTCCGGGAGTAAGATTGAAAGGCTTGGGCTCGACGCGCGGAGCATCGAAAAGTAGGTGCGGCTCCGGTGGCCAGGTGAGGGTTTAGGGTTTGGGGTTTGGGGTTTAGGGTTTAGGGTTTAGGGTCTAGGGTTTAGGGTCTAGGGTTTCGGGTTTCGGGTTTAGGGTTTAGCGTTTGGGGTTTAAAGGACTGTTCGGAGAAGGGGGCACATCCCAAGGTCCAGAGGGACTTTGGGGTTCAGGGCTCACTGCACAAACAGCTATCGACCCTCCACGATGGCCTTTACGGCCAGAGGAGGTCCCTAAACCTTAAACCCAAGAACCCTACACCCAAAAATACTGAACCCGATCTAAACCCTAAACCCTGCCTGTACCCTAGTCTACCCGATCTAGCTTAGCCTGACACCCCTCTACCCTCAACCCTCTACCCTTATCTACCCTTATCTAGCCTTATCTAGCCCATCTACTCTTACCCGAAACCTTAAACCCTAAAACCCTTAACCCTAAACCCTAAACCCTAAAACCCTAAACCCTAAACCCTAAACCCTAAACCCTAAACCCTAAACCCAAGAGGCCTCCCAGAGTTTCTTTGCAAACTCGTCCACCACCAGCGTCACGTTGCAGCCGAGATTCCTGAGCTCAGTCGGGCTTTTGGGGGTTTTGGGGTTAGGTTACGGTTAGGTTTAGGAGTTTAGGGTTTAGGGTTTAGGGTTTAGGGTTTAGGGTTTAGGGTTTAGGGTTTAGGGCTCAGGCTGTAGGGTTTAGGGTTTAGGGCTTAAGGTTTTCTTGTGTGGGGTTTAGGGTTTAGAGCTTCCGGAGTTGAGGGACGGCGCATTTCGGGGCTCATTCGAGTTTCGGGCTCAGGTTGAACGGAAGCCGCAAGGGCTGGGGACCCGAAAGGTTCGACGAGATTTAGGGTTCTGCCTTTCTCTGACCCAGGAAAGAGGTGGGTTTTCATTTTTAGGTGCTTAGGTTTTGGGGTGTAGGGTTCAGGGTTTAGGGTTTCGGAGGCCTCGCAGCACAAAATGCAGTCCCAGCATCGCCTGCGCCCAGCCGTTCAGCAGCTGCGCCAGCCTTCTCAAAAGCGGGGTGCGGAGAATGAACCGAAGCCTCGGCCTGTGCCTGGTGCCTCACCTGCTATTGTTTGAGGGTTGCAACCCTACCTCTGGGAGAGTTTCATTTTGTAGGGCTGTAGATAAGTTTCTAGGGTTGTAAGCCCTTAAAGCTTTTGAACCCGGCCCTAACATCTAAAGCCTGCGCCCTTCAAATCGATAACCTTGCAGGTGAACACCCGACTGCCACCAGATGCAAGGGCCCGGCGTCCGGAAGATGTACATATCCAGGACCAGGACGTCCTGTACCAGGGATTGGGGGCTGAGCCAGAGAAGCCCTCCCCTCCCACACCCCTAAACCCTAAACCCTCCAAACCCTAAACCCTAAACCCTAAACCCTAAACCCTAAACCCTAAACCCTAAACCCTGAGAGCCACAAGGAGCCACAAAGAGGACCTCGCGCCTTCAGACCCGGACGCTGTACCTCCGCCAGCAGCTCTGAGGTTCGGGGTTCATTGTTTAGGGTTTAGGGTTTAGGGTTTAGGGTTTAGGGTTTAGGGTTTAGGGTTTAGGGTTTAGGGTTTAGGGTTTAGGGTTTAGGGTTTAGGGTTTAGGGTTTAGGGTTTAGGGTTTGTGGAGTCTTGGGCTTGTTCAAGGTTTGTTGTGGAGGCTTTGGGGTTGCTTTTGCTGGGCTTGTTGTTTGGGTGTTGGGGGCGTTTTTGGGTTTCAGGGTTAGGGTTTAGGGTTTAGGGTTTAGGGTTTAGGGTTTAGGGTTTAGGGTTTAGGGTTTAGGGTTTAGGGTTTAGGGTTTAGGGTTTAGGGTTTAGGGTTTCAGGGTTAGGGGTGTTTCGGCTTCAGATTTATGGTTCAAGGGCTGAGGGAAGCATCTTGAGGGGCTCTGAAACCTAAAGCCTCATGCACAGGGCATCCTAACTAAGACCACCCATAACGGCGTCGTTCCGGGTCCGCAATCCTAAACCCTAAACCCTTAACCCTCAACCCGAAACCCCAAAAATTCACCCTGGTCTACCCTAGAACCCTGAACTCCCTAAACCCTAAACCCTAAACCCTAAAACCCCTAAACCCCAAAACCTGGCCTTCACGGCAACCTCCGCGCCATTCCGGAGGCGGCCGCGGTAGACCTCGCGAGGCCCCGAAGCATTAGATGAAGGGTTTGAGGGTTTGAGGGGTTTTGAGGGGTTTTGAGGGGTTTTGAGGGTTCTAGGGGTGTAGGGCTTAAGGGTTGAAGGGTTTGAGGGTTTGAGGGGTGTAGGGCTCTAGAGGGTGTAGGGGTTTAGTTTACGGGCTTAGCTTACGGTAGACTCAACTTCTTTTTCCGAGTGTTTCAGGCCCTTAAAAAGTTTACATAAGGCCCTTATATATAATCCCTTAAAGGATATTAAAAAGATATATATATATATGTAGGTACCCTATATAATCCCTTAAAGGGTATATATAGTTACCCTTATATAATCCCTTATGGCGTTTTTACAGTTTTCGCCCCCCCACACCGGGGCAGGGCCGTTGATGTCCTAATGTCGTGCTCTAAGGTTAGGGTTTAGGGGGTTTAGGGGGTTTAGGGGGTTTAGGGGGTTTAGGGAGTTTAGGGGGTTTAGGGGGTTTAGGGGGTTTAGGGGGTTTAGGGGGTTTTTAGGGGGTTTAGGGGGTTTAGGGGGTTTAGGGGGTTTAGGGGGTTTAGGGGGTTTAGGGGGCTTAGGGGGTTTAGGGGGTTTAGGGGGTTTTAGGGGTTTAGGGGGTTTAGGGGTTTTAGGGGGTTTAGGGGTTTAGGGGGTTTAGGGGTTTAGGGGGTTTAGGGGGTTTAGGGGGTTTAGGGGGTTTAGGGGGTTTAGGGGGTTTAGGGGGTTTAGGGGGTTTAGGGGGTTTAGGGGGTTTAGGGGGTTTAACAGTATTTGGGAAGAAACTAAAAACCTTAAAGAACAACGCTACAACCCTTAGAAAAAGCCTAAAACCCTAAAGCCCTCACATAAACCCTAAAACCCCGCAACCCGAAAAAGACCCTAAGACCCTAAAGCCCTGAAGCCCTAAAAAAGACTGTACCCTAAACCCGAAACCCTAAACCCTAAACAGACCCTAAGACCCTAAAGCGCCCGCCTGGCCCAAGGAGGCCGCAGCCACTGGCTCCGGGGACAACTCCGGGAACACCCGGCGCGGGTCCTCTGTGTAGGGTCCAGGGTTTAGGGTTTGGGGTTTAGGGTTTAGGGTTTAGGGTTTAGGGTTTAGGGTTTAGGGTTTAGGGTTTAGGGTTTAGGGTTTAGGGTTTAGGGTTTAGGGTTTAGGGTTTAGGGTTTAGGGTTTAGGGTTTAGGGTTTAGGGTTTAGGGTTTAGGGTTTAGGGTTTAGGGTTTAGGGTTTAGGGTTTAGGGTTTAGGGTCCGCCGACCCTGGCGGCGTGTTGGATGGGAAAAGGAGGTGAAAACCTCCCTCTTTCCCTCCTTACCCCCCCAAAACGCGGGGGGGGGGGGGGGGGGGGGGGGGGTAGGGGGGGGTACCCGGGCAGCTTTTCCATGGAGGGCCAGGCCACCCATACGGCATAAACTCACGGACCATCGGCGGTTTACACCCACCCACCCCTACCCCCCCCCCCTCCCCTCCCACCCCCCCCCCTAGATAGCCGACACCTCGCCCCAGTCCACTTTGTAACCCGTCGGCACACCAGCCCGCCAAATATCAAGCCAAAAAATCCCGAAACCATATTCGCGAAATCCTTAGCCCAAAATCTTAGCCCAAAAAATCCCGAAACCATATTCCCGAAATCCTTAGCCCAAAATCTTAGCCCAAAAAATCCCGAAACCATATTCCCAAAACCCCGTTATACCCATATGCCAAATATCAACCCGTAAAATCCCAAGCCAAAAAATCCCCGTAAAACCATATTCTCAAAATCCCAAGCCTAAACCCAAGAAAAAACACCTTCCCCCATAAATCCCCGTTATTCCTTAACCCAAAACCCTAACCCGTAAAACCCAAGAATAACAATAAGCTGATCTTGGGGCAAGGTTGTTTTAATGAAATTTAATATTATATTATTATAATATTAAACTACATTTTATGAATATATCTACCTTCCTATTATCTTCCCTTCTTCTGTTTTCTTTTGGTGCTTGTGGTGCTTTCCCTTTCAGACTCATCCGTTTCGCCTAAATTTTCAAGATTACAACCATATCTGTTTTCAAAGTCTTTCACCGTCATCTTTTTCCATTCGTTAGCTCCTTCTGGTTTTTGTTTTAAATACTCGGTTTTCCCTGAACCACCATATGTATTACAAAGAATTTCAATGTGTTCAATCATTTCAATCCAT